TATGCTTAATCATCTAGAAACTGTTAAAAAGTAACTTGTTGCTTTTAATAAAACAATTTAGCACGTTAGGTCAAACTTAGTTAGTAAACAAATTTTTTTCCTGCTAAAGAATTATTTCATATTGATGTTCTTGTCTATTTGATTGTTTAGTAATGGTTGTTCACAATTATCTGCATAACCCATATACATTTGCTACAATGGTTGTATTCAACTTGTTGCATAACTCGGATACATCTGATAAGATATGTTGCCTACGCATATTCATCAGTTGTTCCATTTCCTCTCTAGTGACATAAATAGAGCTCATAGGAGTTGAACTTGAGGCATTTGGAACTGATGTATTACAAGTAGTTGGTATTTTATCCATGTGGGGGAATTCTCCGTTGACAATGATGCTGAGTATGTGATGGAGGTTGTCTTGCGGCAATGAAAGATTTACATACCACAGTCTTTGTAATTCTTCTTGTGTTGGTTGTAATACTGCAACTACTTGAATCTGTAATTATAGTAAAATATGTAAATAATTTGGTAGGAATTATTTTTAGAAAGAAAAAAATAAAGAAATCTGTAATGTTATGTAATTAGGAATGTAATCAAATAGTTAATGTACCTAGTGTGTGGCCAAAAATTGTCTAATTGTATTTTCTATCACGATTGTATTTGGCTTCCACCTGTGCATCCTTGGTGTTTGTAGTGTTCTATATCTAGGCTGGCCAAATTTCCGTCCAACTTATGGGAATGCTTAGTATATCCAGTACTGATATAATTGAACACACACACACACACACACACATATATATATATATATAGAGAGAGAGAGAGAGAGGGAGTGAGAGAGAGAGAGCAGTGAGTATAAGAAAATAGAATAAACGTACCTAGAATGCCAGTGGATATCCATGTAATGATTACTTCGATTCTATTTGTTCATTCTGTTGCATTATCTATACTTCTTCTAGATGGGACGCTTGTAATGAATTTAATAAAACAACATATGCTTTATGGCCCCAATGGATATGCAAGGGAAGCATCAATGTTCTCAACCGTGCTCAAAGTTTTGTGATCAATATATCACCCAGTAGGTTTTAGAATGCATTCGATGAGCATGACCAGCCGTCGTTTTAATTTGTCTTCTTGATGTTCACAAAGGTGAACTGTTTCAGAAAGTGTTGTCATTCTTATTTTTTTGTGACCATTGAAGTATTGATTCCGAAGTCGGTCGTTGGTAAAGTCGAGGTTCGTAGATATCCCATGGCAAGGTAATCCTGTTATG